CATGTGGCTCCAGAATGTCCATAAACTAAAAACTAAAAATAATTTAAAATAATCCCAATATTTGTATCTCTCAAAATTAAATGGGATTTGAATGATAAATCATAGCATCATTTCTTTTTCTCACTGTATATTTGAACGTACACTTTATTTTATAAACAGTTTTATTTCTTGCTATTGTTGTTTTGAGACAGAGGCTCACTCAGCCGCCTAGGCTGGAGTGCAGTGGTGCCATCTCAGCTCACTGCAGCCTCCACCGCCAGAGTTCAAGTGATTTTTGGGCCTCAGCCTCCCAAGCAGTTGATGCTCAGCAAATTTTTTTTGTATTTTTAGTAGGGATGGCATTTTGCCATGCTGCTCAGGCTGGTCTCAAACTCCTGGCTTCAGGTGATTCACTCATCTCAGCCTCTTAAAGTGCTGAAATTACAGGCGTGAGCCACCACGCCCAGCCAATACGTTGTTCTTTCTATTTCCAAATAATATTCCATTACATAAATATACCACATTTTATCTTTTCATCAGTTGGTGGACATTTCAGTTGTTTTACCATGATCATTCACACACAAGTTTTTATGTGGAGATGTGTTATTTGTACTGGGTATATACTTACGAGTGGAATTGCTGGATCATATGATAACTCTGTTTGACATGTTGAGAAACTGCCCAACTGTTTTCCAAGATGTCTGCACCATTTTACATTTCCATCAGCAATGGGTTCCCATTTCTCTCTATCATCGCCAACACATGTTATTGTCCAGTCTTTTGGTAAGGGCCATATTAGTGGAAGTAAAATTGTATTGCATGTGGTTTTGACTTACATTTCCCTAGTGTCTAAAATCCTGAGTATCTTTTTGTATGTTTGTTGATCATTTGTCTATTTTCTTGGGAGAAATGTCTATTTAGATCCTTCGCTAGCTTTTCAGTGGAGTTATTTTTCTATTAAGTTGTAAAAGGTATTTCTCTTTCTTTAGGATGCAAGTCTCTTGCAGACAAATGATTTGTAAATACCGTCTTCCATTCTTTGGGTTGCCATTTTCACTTTCTTAATGGCACCATTTGCAGAACAAAAGTTTTTCATCTTGGTGAAGTCCAGTTCACCTGTGTTTTTCTAGTTGCTTGTTCCCAGTCATAGTTTATGTCATATCTAAGATCTGCTCTTGTGCTTTCTTCTAAGATTTTATAATTCTAGCGCTTAAAAACATCACTGCTTAATGCCTTCTTTCCCCTAATCCATTGGCCTCCCCTCATCTCTCCCATACCTCTGCTGTCCAACCCCGTTATCAGGATTCATTCCCACCTACACACTGAAAATGCTTCTCTCTGAAAATCTGAGCTTGCTGGGTTTTCTATCTTATTTTCCTTCTTCTCCTTATTTCCTTCTAGTTATGTTTTCTTTTTCCCATTAATAAATCTTAGCCCTTTCTGAAGAAAGACCCTTAGCTTCCCCCTCTTTAGTTCTGCAACAAAAAAGTCTAGAAATTGGGGTGGCTGTGTTAGATGACTGAGAGTAGAAGATTGCAATCTCTTATATTTCCTTTAGCACTGTTGTACATGCCTTATCTCAATTCCCTCTTGAACAAGCCTGGGAAGTTAGCCCCACAAATCCCAATTTGCAAACGGGGAAACAGAGGTCTTGGCGTGACAGAGATAACGTTTGTTAGATAAAGGAGCACATCTTACCTAAGAAGTGACAGAGTTAGAATCTGAACTCGGGCCTTCTGACCACTGGCTCAATGCTCTGCCACAAAATGCTGCCTTTGCCCACAGATTTCCACTCAGTTGCTCTCAAAGGTCATATTGATAAACACCACTCACACGAACAGGCACAGATGACGCCACCACTTCCTATTCAACAAATGTTCCCTGAGAAGCTACTCCTTGCTGGGCATTCATTGTGAGCCACATTCACTTCTGAAGCAGCCAAAAGAAGGAGACTAGGAGAGGAGATGGACAAACCCTCGTGTGCCTCTTTGCCTTCTCACCTCTAACTCTGGAAGAGTTGCCTCATCTGCTGCATGAGCCACACCCAATAAATCTGGCCCTAGGAAAGTCACTCTAGTGTGACACCTGGTGAGTGTCAAAACACAGGCCCAAGGCTCACTGCTCTTAGCTCTGGGCAGATTACTAAATGGATTGAGTCCAATCAAGAGGCAAAGTTCTGCGTGTGGAATGAAGCCAACTCTCAGATCCAAACCCTTCTTCCCAGCCACACTGCCTATCCATGCTCCTCCCTGAGCATTTTCTTCTTCCCATCACTGAGTGTCAGTTAAATAGGCAAGGCTGAAGTTGTGCCAACTGGGTGAGTTCCCTCCCCTAGCCACACACTTGTTTGCTTTCCTGCATCTTAGCCACCGTGCTGCTCACCCCAGAATCCCAGCTTGCAGCAAACACAGGACTTGGGGTCCTAGGGAGGACTCCCTTGTCTGCCAGGGGTTTTCATAAGGTGAAGCCGTATGTCTAGGATCTCAGAAGCCCTCTCTGACTGCTGTTGATGCTTGTAGGGAGCAAGCAGAGCCTTGCAGCTTGTAGAAAACCTTTGAGAACAATGGCTATTGGCACGGAGAAAACCATCTGTTATTTTTGTCTTCTGTTTGTCTTAGAATTTCAGAAAAAGTGAGCAGTTGGGCTGCTCAACTTCATTGTTCACAGTTGGGAGCAGAAGAGTTGAAATGAGGAACTCCAGCTTCCAAAGCTACAAAGCAAAACTGTCTCTTCTTTGTTTTGTTTTTTGTTTTTTTAAGACAGGGTCTTGCTCTGTTGGCCAGGCTGGGGTGTAGTGGCATGATCACACTCACTCTAGCTTCAGACTTAAGTGGCTTAAGTGATCCTCCTGCCTCAGCCTTCTAAGTAGCTAGGACTACAGACATACACCACCACACCCAGCTAATTTTTTTTTTTTTTTGGGTAGGGATAGGGTCTCACTATGTTTCCCAGGCTGGCCTCAAACTCCTGACCTCAAGGGATCCTCCCTCCTTGGCCTCCCAAAACATGGGATTACAGGCATAAACTACCACACTCAGCCTCTTCTTGGCTCTTTAATCCATCATGAGCTTCCTCTCTCCTCCAATTAGGACTAAGGTTGCAGCTGTGAGTTGTGACCTAATGAGGAATCCCAGGGGTCCCCAGAAGGATCTCAAAAGTAGCTTGGAAAAGGTCTCGCTCTCAAATTTTCTTGCTAGCTTGAGGTGGAAGGCAAGGGTCTGAGAGTGGGGAGGAGAAATGGACACAAAGACAAGGCCTTCCAGCTGCAGAATGAACAGGCCAGCCTCCTCTGGCTAAAAGTGACAGCAGAGATGCACTAACCTGGCATACACGGCCTCCACCATCCTCATTTCCTGCCTGGAGCTCCTGTGATTTGCCCCCACCACAGCCTCACCTGGTTCACCCCATCCCGGCTTGCCCAGGACTGAGAGAGATCCTGGCATGAGGAACTTTCAGTTTTAAAATTAGAACAATCCCAGTTAAACTGGAATGAGTTGGTTACCCAGGATGGTGGTAACCGATTGTATCTCTAAGAGTGACTGCCTATTTTAATGATTAAGGGGTTGCAAAGTCTCCCTGGTATCCTCTGGGTCATCTCAAGCCTCTGACTCCAAGGGCGAAGCCTGGGTATTGGGCAGATGAAGGTGAAGCAACTGAAGGCAGTGGGTCTGTACCCACAGTACTAAGGTATAGCTGCTCCTAGACCCAGCTCATCTCCCCAGTTCCCAGACCTAACTCCATGGTCCCCGCAGCCACTCAACAGCCACCCACACTGCACGATGCTGCTCAGCCGGTGCCATCTCCCAGAGCGTTCTTCTTCCTGGCCCTCGGTAGCAATGGTATAGAAAAGATAAGACTGAGGATGTGGCAGCTGGGGTTGGTTACCACCAACCTCACTAATGGAACCTTGATCTTCTTTGGCTATTGGGTAACGGAAGTGTCCAGGCCCAGGAGCAGAGTTGTGGCAATTGCTTTCCTCTTTGCTCATAATTGGTTTAGGGTGGGCAAGCAATCCAGGTATGGCCAAAGTAATGTCAATGTCAATGGAAATCTGATGGAGCCAAACTCATCCCTTTTAAAGAGCCTGATCCTGAGATAACTAACCAAGATCCTGTGATGATAGCACTAATCTATTACCATATAAAGGCCCCACCTCCCAACACTGTTACATTTGCAATCAAATTTCAACATGAGAGGCCGGGCACAGTGGCTCACACCTGTAATCCCAGCACTTTGGGAGGCTGAAGTGGGTGGATCACCTGAGGTCAGGAGTTCGAGACCAGCCTGATCAACATGGCAAAACCCTGTCTTTACTAAAAATACAAAAATTAGCTGGGTATGGTGGTGAACGCCTGTAATCCCAGCTATTTGGGAGGCTGAGGCAGGGGAATCTCTTGAATCTGGTAGGCAGAGGCTGCAGTGAGCCAAGATTGTGCCAGTACACTCCATCCTGGGCAACCGAACAAGACTCTGTCTCAAAAAAAAAAAAAAATCAATATGTGTTTTGGAAGGGACATTCAAACCGTAGCAGTACTTACCTTCAAAGGGCCAACCATGGTGCCTGGACTATATTATGTTCTTGATAATGCTAAGCTCTCATATTAGTAATAATATTAATTCTGTCTCCATGGATCAAACATGGAAATCAGTTTCCCTACTTCCTAGTCCCATCTCAGAGGTGTCCCATCATCAGTTACTACAGCTCAGCGAGTTCCACTCACAGAGTCCTAATAAGCTCTGTCATTCCTACTGGCCAGTCTGCAGTCTAAATGGAAAGGAAGTAGAGGTGGAAAGAGGCAGCAAAGGAAAGTGAGATGTGACAGTCTAACAGTGAAGGCAGACAGAAAGACCACACAGACGAGGTTTAGAATACTAAAAACAAAGCAATCTGGGTAGCGTTAGTGCACGGACAAGCAGTCCGACCCCTCTAGGGAGATCCTGTGTTACGTGACATGGTATCAGCTGACCACGTGTTAAGTCTCAAATCATGAGAGCCTGAATCATTCAAAAAAAGGTGAATCTTTTCAACACAATCAGTTTAAGAATAAATTGTGCGAAAAAACGGTATTCAGTGAGCAATATTACCATTACAAACAGGAGACCGGTTCAACTGAAAGTTACAGGGGCCTGACTTAGTACTCGGCTGCCTCCCTTCTTGAGCATGCTGGATAAATGGAATTTCACCAAAACAACATATTGAAGTCTTTTTGCCTCTCAGCAAGGTGTTATTTAGGTAGAAGGAAAGCAATGAAAATGAGGAAAGGAAAGCAGGTGGGTGGGGACTTGGGGTTTGTCCTTCCATTAAAAAAAAATCTTCTACTTGGTGCTTGGCTAGTGCTACCCCTGAGGCTCAGTCAGCCTGGCTCTTCTTGGCGGCACATGGGGCATCGCGGCCCCTGTCCAGCAGCAGGCCCTCCAGCCGCTTGCAGTGCTCCCGGAGCTGTTTCTCACGTGGCAGCAGGAAGGTGAGGACCTTGTTACGTACGATGCCACGGTCCTCCTCCTCCCGGAGCCGCTGCTTCACGCGAGCTGCCTGCTCCTCCTGCTGCACCAGGGCTCCATTCATCTTGCAGAAGGCGTCTTCAAGGTAATGGATGGACTTCAATGCCTCTTTCTTAAAGTCCTCCAGCTCGCGTTGCACCCCGGTCACCTTCTGCTGCAGGATCTCCACGTCGGCTGTTGGTGGGAGGTAGGTGGACCATGACTGGGACAGGGAAAAGTCTCCAGACTGAAGGCCACTCTCTACCATTTTCTTCCCCTGTAGGGTATTCACCGTCATGAGAATGGACCCAGCCTGACAGACGGGTTCCATTGTCTCTCTACTATGTTGGGCAAAGAGAGGGGGCCAAGATACCAACCAGGTCAATAAATAGTTTTGGCTAGAGACATGATCATTCAGAGCAGAGAAACCCTAGAATTGTGACATCAGGGCCCCTTCATCCAACCAGAAAGAAAGCCACAGTTCATTCATTTGCATATGGTAGCCACCTGGGTTGGTTACCTAGAGCTTTATCTGTTTATCTGACCAAGTCGATAAAGTGATCAAGTTATCTGAATCCTCCCGAGATGTGGATTCCTAACTCATCACCCTTCTAGAACCAGAACTAAGGTTCTTCTTTAACCTAAGGAGCAAACCAAGTTCCAGAGCAGGGAAGTAAACTGGCAAGAGCAAGGCAGGCCAGGCCAGGCTCACTGGCTGCGGGACTGGGTGGTCTCCCACACTAGCGAGGGACCTGCATGGTCTTGGACTGGCCTCTGGGCTTTAGTACCTCGCTAGTAAAACAAAGACATTGTAAGAGATGGTACCTAATCCCACTTGGAGCTCTAAAATGCTAAAAAAGTAATCTCTTATTCCAAATCCAGACTCTTACAATGATGCCAGAATTCTAGATAATCTTAGAAATTGTGAGAAATGTACTTAGATGTTGATGTATGGTCCGCAGCAATGACCGATTCCATAGGTACAGAGTAAAAATGGGCTAGTCATATTTATTCAATAAATACTTACTGAGCTCTCATTACACACTGGAATCAGGGAACAAGTGTGAGCAAGAGTGCATGGTCCCCCAGCATCCCTGAATGTCGATAACTATGAGAAAAAACACATAGAAGAGTAGATCTTGTAGTTTTTACCTGATAATGAGAACAAAGGAAAATGCTCCTAGCTAATCTACATTTGGTGGAATCGGGAACAAACCTTCATCTTGCACATCTCAATCTGTTGCCCAGAACCCCCTCCTGGGCTCCAAATCTAAATGTCTCTCCAACAATGGGCCTCCAATTCAAGTCCTCCAAACCTGAATCGGTGATCTTACCAGTTTCTTTTCCGGTGCTGCTGTCGGATTAATGATAGCAACACAGAAGGATACCCACACCAGAGCCCACATAAGACACCTGGTGCCGTGAAGCTAATGTTTGTCCCCTCCCAAACTCATGTTGCAATTTAATTGCCATTGTAACAGGATTACGAGGCAGGACCTTTAAGAGATGATTAGGCTGCCCTTTAAGAGATGAATGGATTAATGCTGTTATCTTGGGAGCAGGTTCCTTAAAAATGGATATGGGCCCCTTGTATCTCTCTCTCACCCTCTTTTCCCTTCTACCATGTGGTGTCTTCTGCTGTGGAATGACACAACATGAAGGCCCTTGTAAGATGCCAGCATTTTGATTTTGAACTTCCTTGCCTCCAGAACTGTAAGGAAATACATTTCTGTTCATTATAAATTACCCAACCTCAGATATTTGACTACAGAAGCACACAATAGACTAAGAAACCTAGGATCAACCTAGACCCTTCCATGTCAAAGTGGCTCTAAGTCCTATTCAATCTACCATCGCCAAGCACTGGTAGACTGATAGATCAAACCACCGGGGTCGAAGTTCCAGCTCTACTTACAAGCTATGTACCTTTGGCAGATTACATCATCTCCCTGAGTCTCAATTTTCTTATTCATAAAGTAGAAATACTAATTCAGTGGTGTGCAGTTCTATGGGGAAAAGTAAATAAAACTAATTGATGTTAATAATTGTTGCCAATTTCCATAGTGTAAATATCATGGCCCATTTCAAGCTACCAACATGATGTCACTGGGAAGAGATGCATAAAATCAGCTCTCCTGAGCCTGTGCAAGCCCACTCTAGCCCCACAGGGCCGGTGATGAGGGCAGCTGTCTCCTCCGAGATGCAGATTACCCTCTCTATGGTGCCTTGCAGTAGGCATTGGAGAGGGTATTTTGCAGGGAGGTTCATGGCTAAACTAAGGTGGAATTTTCTGGGGAATTTTGTGGGGTTTTTTAGCATAATAAAGTATCAAGCAATAAGGTGAAATTTTAAATGGCAAGATGAAAAAAGCAGCTTCAATTATTGAGACCGAATGGTGGAGCATTTTTCTAGGAGTCAGGAGATCTGGAGACTGGAATTGCTGTGTGGTGACCCTAGGTCAATCACCTTCCCTCTCAGAACCTATTTCTTCCACCAGATGTGATAAGGCAGGATATGGTTGTTCTGAGGTCTCTGATGTTAAACCTCTCTTGAGGCACTTAAAATCTTCTCCCTCTTTTTGTGACTTAGGGCTTCGTCCTTCCAGGTCCCCGATGGCACAATAAACTCCATGAGTCCAGGGATCATGAGTTTCTCACCCTGTGTACCCTTAAGCATCCTGCCTGGTGCCCTGCACATAACAATACTCAGAGAACCAGATGAAATAGAATTTATTTTCACAGGCACCCCTGGCTTTCCCGCTGACAGGATGACACCTACTGGTCTTAGCAAAAACAGCATTCTCTTGATTCCACTACCTAAGAGCTAGATGGGGACTGAGGAGCTGATAAAAACAGCGTGTGGTCTTGTGGTGTATTTAATTACGGGAATGTGTGCATGTTGGGCACATAATAGGTTCTCAATAAATATCTTTGAATCAGCAAAAGGGCAGTCTCTATCATTCTCTGAGTGCTTTTCTGTTTCTACCTCTCTCTCTCTCTCTCTCTCTCTCTCTCTCTCTCTCTCTCTTTCTCTCTCATTTTGTGCCTCTTTGTCTCTGCCTCCCACAGGGAATGGTGGCAAAAGTCACATGGAATAGCAATTTTTCCATTTCCCTTGTGCTTTTTAATGGCCTTGTAGTCTGCTTCTCAGAACCAGAGGGGAGGACGGTATTTCCACAAGAGCCCAGCAGAGGCTCGAAGCAAGTGAGTGCTGTCAGCAGAAGGCCTCATAGGGGCCTCCCGAGCCTTCAGGCAGCATCCTCAACAGGGCAACTTGATGTGCACCTTCTGAAGGTTCTTCTCCTAGAATTTCATAATCAAGGACTATGCCTTCTTCACAAAATTTCCTTCCATTTATACTAGGAAAGTAAGAAAGCCAATCACTGTGTCCCCTTAAAGGTATCAAGAAAAAGGAGTTCTAACATCTCTGGGCAAGGCAGCTCTGGGCCTCGAACCCACTGTCAGATGATTTCTCTGTCCTTGGTCTATTTCAGTGGTTCACAGCCTCCTCATGTCTCAGGATGATGGGGGAACAAGAGGGAAACCTTAGCCCCACAGAGATCCCAGTCCTGCCCTTGAGAATCAGATTAAACCTGAATGGGATGGGACTCAGTGGTGGCCATGTTCTAATAGCTCCCAGGTTGGGCTTCACTGGGTCTGAGCACCATTGCTGTGGGACCCTGCTCATGACTTGCCAGTGAAAGCCAGATGGTTTCCCCAGGACCCCACCCTGTTATATGCCTTCATCTGTCTCTGCAAATGAAATGAGCCTTGGTCCTTTTGGGGACTGGGAAAAGGGGCATGACACAGAGGCACTCCTTCTTCACATACCTTTTTTAAAGTGAGGAAGATGCTCAGAAGCTAGAAGCTCCTCACATCCCGTGGGTTAGAACCACATCCCTGGGCCACTTCAAACTACATCACTGACTGGAGGGGTAGGGCTCCTACAGTTGGCTGAGACCAATCACAGGTCCCTTCCTGGGACTGGGGCTGGGTCAGGCCTCCCTGAAACACAAGCCTCTCAATACCAGAACCAAACTGGGGCTCTGTTCTCAAGCAAGAGAGGGAGAGGATGGTCAACCAACTGTGTCTTCCACAAAGAGTAATTACACCTAAAGAAAAGACTCGGTAAAAGAACCATGCAAAATCCTCCAAAATGAACTACTACTGTGAGCTTTTGGGCAGAATGGGAAACAGTCTTCTGGGAGTCTCTTAAAACTGGTCTATCTCTTCCCATCCCCAAGGGAAAAAAATTATGAAGAAAACCCCTAGAACTCAGAGCATCTTCTCCAAACCCCCATGTGATTGGATATTTCTAAAGGAGAGAGGACATCTGTTGACCCTATTTAGCCACTCTTTTCCCAGAATCCCTTGACCCTGTGCCTCCTATGGCCTGGGAAAGGATACTGCAATACAATGAATGTCTTCTCAGATGTGCCCATAAAATATCTTCCATCCATCCTCCCATCCATCCAGCCATCCAACCATCATCTCATTCGTCTACCCATCTACCCAGCAATCCAGCCAGACTTCCATCCATCTATCCACCTGTCCAGCCAGCCAGCGTTCCACCTGTCCACTTATTCATCCATCTATCCATCCATTCCTCCATCCATCTACCATCTATCCAGCTGTCCAGCCAGGCTTCCATCCATCTATCCATCCATCCAGGCTTCCACCTGCCCATTCATCCATCCATCCAACCATCCATCCATCCACTCATTCAATGATAACCATTGAGTACCTACTCTGTGTATACTGAGCCAGGCAACTGAAATTCAAGAGAACAAACAATATGGAAAAGACTCCTGCTCTCAAGCAGGCAGCATTTTGATGGAAGGAAACCAGTAAAGTAAGCAATCAACAAATAAGATGATTTGAGCTGATGCTAAATCTCTGAAGGAATAAGCAGTGGAAGGTGACAGCTTGTCAGGTGGGGGTGGGCTCAGGGAGGGCCTCTGTAGGGGTTAGGGGGTGGGTGGCATTTGGGGAAAGATAGGAAGAAGGAGACCTGGGGATAAAATTCAGGAAGGAAGTGCTAGTAGAAAGGCCTGGGGCAGGAAGGGGCTGGAAGAGCCCAGAGGAGGCCTGTGTGGCTGGCGGGCTGGGAAGCAGGGGGAGGAGGAAAGGAGTGGGGTGCACAGGGCTGGATCACGCGGTGACCTAGCTGGGGGAGGTGGGGTGTTATCCCCACTGTTATGAGGGCTATCCAGGGCTGCTCCAGCTGCGCAGCCTCTGCCTCTGCAGCTGGTATTCCAGTCAGGGGAATGGGGACAAGGCTGGAATGGGGGGTGGGGACCAGGGTCAAGAACAAAACTTGGTGCTGTTCACTATGATTAATTAACCCAGCACCAGAGCCCCGAGGCGCGGTGCTAAAAATACCTGCTCCCTCTGAGATGCGGCAGCTGCCACCCAGCAACTTTTACCCACGCCATTTGTCATAATTTGACACTGTTAAGGAGTGTCCACAGGGCTGTGTGTCTGCAAGAATCGGACTCATCGGCAGCCCCCCAGCCAGCTGGTCCTTGGAAACCATCCATGCCTCTGCCCTACCTTAACTCTCTTCCCATCCCCAGCCCAGCCGATGTGCCTGCCACCTGCCACTGCCTGCCGGTTCGCAGCTCCTCCTGGAACCAAGCGGACCGCCTCCAGAGGTGGGAGCCAAAGCTTCCTCGAGAGCAGGAGGAGCACATCACTGGATGCCATGTTTCACACACTGCAACTCTGCGACTCGGATTAGAGCCATCCATCAGAGGCCCTGCCAGCCCAGGACGGCACTTTAATTAAAATATGTAAAACATCCTGGTGGGAGTGGAGCTGAAGACACAGGAGCAGGCCTTGGACAGAAGCTGGCCCTTCTCCAGCCTTGGAGGGCTAGGACTGTGCCAGGAAGGCCCTCCGAAGCAGTCTGGGGGAGTGGTGATGTCTGATATACACCATCAGCCACTCCACTCAGCATAGAACTTAGCGAGGGCAAGAATATCTGCATGAAAGAAAGCCACACCAGGTCCCCAGGCCAGAACGGTGACCCTAACAGCATGTTGGCAAGGACTTGGCATCACACCGGTTGTCAGTCTTAGGGGTTGGAATGTTCTATTCCCACTCTCCATTTTCTGAAAGGACACATTGTGAAGCTGATACCTGGACATTTATACAAACTACTCAGCAAATCCATTTCCATTTTCCAGACGAATCAACTCCCCAAGTTCACTCTTTGTTCAGACGTTGCTTTCTATGTTGAGAGGAAGAGTGGCAGAGGCTGCATTGTTTAGAGCAGGGATGAGATAACTTTTTTGCAGTTTGCCCAAAATCAGAAAAAAATGTCTAGGCCACTGTTTTCAATCCACCTTTTAAAAAATCATGAGATGCAATATTTAAAAATTGTTTTAAGCCTGCTTTCCATTTTTTTCCCTTATCATCATTAAAGGACTTTGTGATTGTTACTGAAACATCAGAACCTGGGCCGGTATGGTGTGTTGCAGTCTCACTCTGAACATTTGAATACATTGAATACGTCTCACTCTGGCCTGCAGCACATTTTCTGGGCAATGACATAGATTGTGTGGAGTGCTGAGGGATTTGGGATTGGGGAGGCAAATTGGACTCTGAGCTCAGCCAGAGACCAGGGGCAAACAAGAGCCCCATTAGGAGTTCCTGGTTCTTGTAGAGCAAGGGGTTGGGGTACTGTTTGGAAGCCCGTCTCAGTGGGGAAAATAGACATTGCTGCAGGAGGTGATGGGTGCCACTTACTTCTCCCTCCACTCCCAGCCCTCCCAAGGACAGCAGGATGAGGAGAGATGTTCATGGCTTCTAAATCCTGCAGGAAGACAAGCTGCTGCTCCCATCAGCCCGCACCGCTCCAACCAGGGACAACTTCCTCAGGGCAGAGCCAGAGCCACTCTCTGTGTGTTGGGGTGTCAGGCTGAATTATGTGAGCTTAAAAACCAAATCCCCTCCTTCCTGGGTTACTTAACTGTCTGCCTGGTGAGACCAAGAGATTACTGGTGACAGACACCAGGGCCTGCCTGGCTGCTCCAGACAGAGAAGCTTTGATCACCTGGAAAACTCCAGACACCAGGCCTCCTAATGATGAGTAATGAGCTCAAACCATCGGAAAGTTACCTGGCACCATGCACTGGGGACACGCACAGCTTCCACAGAAGCCTGGGCTAGGGAGCCAGTGCACAGTCATCTAGTCTCCTAAGAAAGAGTTTGACCCTGACTCCCACACCTACCCTAGCCCCACCCAGAGTCGTGCCAGCTTGTTGATAAGGCAGGGAAGCTGGGCACTTGTCTTTTCCAAGGGTTGATTTGGGGTCTAGAGGCCAGAATTTATATTCAAGAATACAGCCTCCTCATTTGTTCATTCATTCATTCACTCATTCATATATTCAACACATATTTATTGAATGATTAAGATAAGCCAGGCACAGTGCTGAATGCTTAGGATAGAAGACACTCAAATGAGGCTTCCGTCCCGAGGGAATTTGCAATCTCCTTGGAGATAGCCTGCAAGTCCAGCCTCAGCCTCACAAAACTCTGTGATAAGGAGCCAGACAGACTTGGCTATGGGCTGTTAAGATCACCCAGAGGAGGGGGCTCTAAATTAGAATGTCCCTTCCTTCTGGCAGTGAGGATAGGAGCAGGATGGGATGGAATTCAGATATTCCAGGTCCTTCTAGGCTGGGATCCTAGGCCTAGGTCATCCCTGGCTATTTAAGCCTGTGAGAATTCCCAGTCTCAAGCTGTACCTGCATCACTTCATCTGGGATTTCCTCCTACTCTGATGTCAGCTGGAAACATGTCAACCTTTTGGCTTCATGGAAACTTAAGCCCATTGAGTCTCAAACTTTGACATACATTAGAATCATCTTGGGAGAGTGTTAAGATATCATTTGTAAGTTCTGAGTCCCACTCCCAAGAGATTCTAATTCAGAAGGCCTTGGAAGACTGAAATTAGGTTGATCATCTTTTTTTTTTAATAGACAGGGTCTAACTACATTACCCAAGTTGGTCTCGAACTCCTAGGCTCAAGGAATTCTCATGCCTTGGCCTCCCAAAGTGATGAGATTACAGGTGTGAGCCACTGCACCTAGCTGATCACCTATCTTGATTTACCCAGAACCAACATGGTTTCCTAAATATGAGACTTTCCATTTTAAAAGTGGGACAGTCCCAGGAAAGCTGGACAGGTTGATCACCCTAACTAGGGTTGACACTGTTAATCCCTTCCCAGTGGCATTCCTTTCTTCCTTGAATTATAGAATCCCAATTTTGATGAGGCAGTTACATGCTTAGGGAAGGTGAGCCTCCACCAAACCCAGGTGGTAAAGCTGGGTGCATTCCATTCCCTGTTGCTATTGATTTACTTAAGGGAGTAGGCCTGGGATTCGCTTCTGTCCAACAAGTTGTAAAAAGAAAACTTATGGAAAGGATAATGTCCCTGAAGTTTAGGAGTGAGACAGGGAGGGAGAAGGAGAGATGTCTGCTCTTTCTTCTGCCTTGGATGCAGCTGTCTGACAACATGATGGTTGGAACTGTGGCAGCCATTTTGCAATCACGAGGAAAATCTGAGGATGAAAATTCAGCTGTGCTAAGGACAATTAGAAAGATAAAAAGAGTGTTCACTGTTTATATCATTGATACTCTAAGCCAACCCTGAAATTATCTACCTTCCATGTAATTGATACCTGATTAAATGTCTTTCTTGCCCAAACAACTGCTATCTCATATTCTGTTAATGCAGCCAAACACATCATGATTTTACAACGGGCCTAGAAATCAGTATTTTTAATAAGATCCCGCAAATCATTCTGATGCCCTCCACCAATCTAGCTAATCCAGTGATTCTCAAAATGTGGTCCACAGACCAGTAGCATCAGTATCCCCTAGGAACTTGCTGGAAAGGCACATTCTCAGGCCCTGCAGACTTTCTGAATTAGAAACTCTGGGAGTGTCCGGGGCCCATCAATCTGTATTTTAACAAGCCCTCCAGGTGATCCTGACAATTGCTAAAGTTTGAGAAGTTTTCTCCTTCCTCCCCAGGCTCTTCCCCAGGTAATCTTGCATTAGTTGGATGCTTTGACCAGATTTCCTGGCCTGTGTTATTTAACAGCATGTGGTGACAGGGGAGGGAGGCAGTTCTTTGCAGTCAGTCCTGGTCAGGGCAGGAGGTAAACTTGGTCAACCCAGCAGTTAAGGAGAGTGGCTGTTAATGCCCCTGGCCCAGTAACCCTGGGTGAATGTTTATACCCTTCACCGATACCCAACTCATCAGACATTGCATTACATGGCAGCCAGCCTGGGAGGAGAAGAGGAGGGGAGGCCCAGGCAGCTCCTTCTCTTCCTTCCTAGGGAAGCCTTGCCTTGGCTGGCCAGTAGTAGTCTAAAGGCAGAAACTGAAAAAGAGACTCCACACTGCAAGTGGGATCCATCATCAGTTCATTAAAAAAGGAACTTATGCCAGGCGCGGTGGCTCACGCCTATAATCCCAGCACTTTGTGAGGCCGAGGAGGGTGGATCATGAGGTCAAGAGATCGAGACCATCCTGGTCAACATGGTAAAACCCCGTCTCTACTAAAAATACAAAAATTAGCTGGGCATGGTGGTGCGTGCCTGTGATCCCAGCTACTCAGGAGGCTGAGGCAGGAGAATTGCCTGAACCCAGGAGGCGGAAGTTGCAGTGAGCCGAGATCGCGCCATTGCACTCCAGCCTGGGTAACAAGAGCGAAACTCCGTCCAAAAAAAAAAAAAAAAAAAAGGAAATTATAAAATCCCTAATTACACCTCTTCTCTGGAATATTTCCTCAAAAACAATTTTCAGTATTTCACATGTTCTCCTGAATCTTCCTCTTTACAATTGAGCACTCTGTCAAAGGATTGTCCAATGAGCATCACATTGTAAATAATAACTTTATTTTCTAAAAAATATGAATTCTCACCCTTAAAGCATTTTCTATGTGCCAGGCACAAGGACTTTATGTGCATCATGTTTTGAAGTAAAGAGCCACCAGCCCAGGCATGCCTGCCAAGGCTCCCCTTTGTCCAGGTGAAATTAGGTTTAGGAGTCCTATCCCAGCAGATTTATTTTATCCATCTCCAACTCAGATGTATCACATAAAGCAAAATGCCATAAAATATTTAAACCCTTGCACCACTTCTGCTGTGTGGTACCAGGTGGCAAGACCTATCAACAAGGATCCACTGGCCTGCAGTGCCCCTGGGTAGCTGAGAATGTGGTCCATCAGCTAAGGTTCTGAAAACCGAATTCAGTTTGCAATGGTTTTGAAGTGTGTTATCAGAAAGGGAGGGCTGTACTGAGGCTCTGCCTTGCGCCGCTAATGAGGGCATCTGTGCATCTCTGGCTCCCCCGCCACTGGTCTTGTCTTGGGTGCATATGTCTGAGGGCCAGTCCAGCCACCCTAGCTTACAGTCTACCAACAAGTAAGGCTGCTTCCAAGAGCGGGGCCTCCCGGTGCTCAGGTCTTGCTCACACTCACAAGCAGACACACTTCAGCTCTTGGGTGGTCACTGGCCTAGATGTTCCAGTGGTTGACCTAACTCATGATTCATCCTTTTCTTGGCTATCATCATTTGGTCACTGTTATAAGCGAGGCCTAGATGCCAAATAGTCCCTCTCGAACAATAGCTGAGATAAGCAGTAAAGTCAGAAAAGGCCACGAAGCAGAAAAAAAAACCATTTAAGGCTATGTGATGGCCATGCTGTTAGGAAGAGGCAGTTTGGAGGGTTAGCCTGTGAGCAAGACAAAAAGGCCCAACAACTGCCTAGTCTGACTTTGGTTTTGCAGCCAAGCCGTGGGAGCCAAGCAGGCTGTCTCCTCCCACCCCACGAATGCCCTCTAGTAGCCAGGTAGATGCCCACCTCATGCCTTTTTCCCTCTGATTCCTGCTAGCTACAGAAACACATTTTTGCCGTAAGTCCAGTCACTCCCCACTGACCTAAACCCTGTCAAGCCAGAGAATGGGGTAGAAAGCCCCCAGGTGGGCTTAAGAGCCTGGCTTTTAAAGCCTCCTTCATTTGATTCCCAGCACTGGGGTTGGGGAGGGGTCAAAGTGATCCCACGGGCTGAGGGTGACAGGTCAGCAGCGGTTGGCCAAGGCTCCGGAGGGTGTTACTTTTCAGACACAGTGTTCTGGGTGCAATTAAAAGGCTGGTCTTCAGGTGAGGTGTAAACTGCAAAATGCTGCTAGGCCAGGGTGCCGGTCAAAGCCCACGAGCAGGCAGCAAGGTGCCCAGGCCCCCCCCCAGACATACCACCTCCGGGTAACAAAGCCTTCAGGAATCAATCAATGCTGCAGGCTGCACCATTCTGTCTGAGCGGCTCCCTTTTCTCCCTCTGCTCTTTCCAGCAGAGGTCAGAGTTCACATCAAATGTCATTAATCTTCTTCCTGGGGGCCGGGGGCTTATTGGACAGTCCTATTAATCAGAGGCCTAT